ATTCCTATACATGAATTTTTTAATGAATGCTTCACAGTACGGAACACTTTTTTTCTATCAGGAAACATCCACACCTTTCTTCCTCGCTGATTTAGGAGAATGTTGCTTTCGTCTGAAAAAATTGCTCGATCCCAGTCATAGTTTTTATGCTTGCTCGCCCACTATAGTCGTTTTTCTTATGCTTGTCAGTAAGTAGGGATTTGGAAAGCTGATTTGTATATTTAGCCCCAGCTTCATACAGACGTCGCCGAATAGTATCCACACTAACGTCAACACTATGGTTCTTATTTTATGTTGTATTTCAGTGTAAGTTATATTTTTTTCATTTTTTGCAAGCTCTTGTTTGAGTTGTAATTCACTTCCGATCTGATTTTGGTTCATTATTTAAGTCTTTTGTTTTATTTATTTTTTGATTATGTTAATTACTGTACCTTTAGCATAACTGATCTAATTTGCAAGGCTACAAATCTAAGCTTTGAACCTTCGGGATGGGTATGTAAAAAATCTCATAACGCTTGTGTAAGGGAAGAGACATTTTTATGATGTTGATTATCTATGATGCAAGTACATGTACATGTATGTATATCGATATTATCAACTACGTAACTATAAAGACATCAATGTTCATTGTGCTCGGAAAATTTCAGAGCAAGCACTATCGCTATATCTTCGTATGTCGTTACTTAAACTTAATTGTTTCTTTTTAATCTTAATAAAGATTCATCATTTATTCTAGAACAAAGGAATTTGCAAAGAAATAATGCGAAACCTTGTGTTTTATCATGCAAACATCATTACACCACCAAAGATGTCAACTTTAATTGTCTACTTAACCACCAGAAATAATTTACGTGGACTAAGTGCAGCCAATGAAATTAAACAGAAATTGGATTAAAAAAAACTGCTTGTTGAAAATGGACGAGTCGTTAGAGTTTTATTTCATCAGTTAGATATAACTGATGATGAGAGCGAGTGTGCAAAAGATGTGAAATGATGTGCAAAAAGCGTTTGAAGGTATATGTGCTCAAACTTTAATTAAAGTTAAAGCTTAAATTCTTGTTTGATTAGGTTTTGATAATGCAGCGATCGGTAAAATTTAATTATACAGTATTTTGTTAAATATGATTATTAATAAGTTTTATTTTTCAGGACCAGAATTTCTCAGTGAATCATTTAGTCCAAATAAACGCTTGATACAAACTATTGGAGACTAATCAAGTGACTTAATACATAATTGGTGGTAGAATAATAAACATTACTAGTAGACTCAGCCAATTAAAACAGATCCCATCAATAGAGTTACATACCGAATTCAGCCGTGAGGATTTGTCTCTCGAAGAATTAAATGAGTTGATGAGAAAATTTGAGGTAAAATTATTTTAGACAAAGTAGTTATAAACTAAAATAAACTTTTTAGAGAAACACACAAATTGTGTTGTAACTGTTCAAGAAGGCTGTCCAACATCAGGTAATATGCCATATCTCTTGAGTTGCGGGTAAATTAATAATCTATAAATGTATCCAAGGTTAGCATGATCACATGCATATACGAAAATATTAGCACATCGATTAGCAAATAAAAAAAAGCATCCAAGCTATTAATCTTGGCTGGATATGTACATGTATATTTAAATTGTTAGATTGACCAAATCACGAATGTGAATATTTAAATTTAAAGGTTCGAACTAATATGAAAAGCGAAAAAGCACCACTTTCAGCAGATATAGAATCTTAATTTTTTGTTTTGAGTATAAAAAAACATTAAATAATTTAATAAGATCAAGAAGTTGAAATACCAGTTTATCTTGCATTATCAAATGATCAAGGTTGAAAAGAATAGTCAATTCTGGACCAGAATCTACTTGTATTTGTTCTTTTGATCCAGTTAAATACCAATCCTGTTTAGTATAGGTTCATAATATTGTGCATTTCAATTTGTTTTATTGTTTATTGTTTATTGTTGAAAAAATCTAAATTCTGAATAAATTCTTGAAAGGTTTGATTCAATTTATTAATACACTGACTTTTATAATTATTGTGCCATTCCTAAAAATTTTCTGGAATTTTTATCTTCATAAATATTAATTCAAATAAAATAAACAAATACTTATTTTAAATCTCAAACCTCTAGAATTTGGCAACTATTTATTTTGATCAACTAAAATTTCTTAACCAAGACCAAATTTATATTTAGATCATTATAAATCTATCTGTTTACAAGATGGCATCTGAATTTTAAATTTTAGTTAATAACAAAATTACTAATTGAAATCTGAACTTTTGAGAACTAATAATATCTTAATGAATTTGGTTTTGATTTAAATAAAAATTGTTATAGAATAAAATATTTTTAATAAGTGGTATGTAGTAAATCTTTTAGAATTTCCATTACTTCATAATTATAGTAAATAATCCAAGAATGTTTAATTATGACTATTAACTTTATAAAGCTAAATATTTTGTTCAAGCAAAAATAAAAATATTAACTAATAAAAGAATTAAATATCTTTAGAATAGTTCTCTTTTGAAAGATTTATCAATGTTTAATATCTTTCAAAAGAATGTTTTTGAAGTTATTTATAAAGTATCTGGTTGGGTGAACTATATTATATATATATCAGAACTTATAAATAAAAAATTTTTAAAATGTAAAAAGATTGCTTTTTGTTTTCTAATCCAATATTCACATAAATCAAAACGATCTAAAAATTATATCAATATGTTTTGATAATAACCATTTTTCTCAATTAAATTTGTTGATATAATCTAATTAAATATATTTTATTCTGTTAGATATACAGTTAAATAAATAATTCAATGAGAAATTTGACTAAAAAGTCCAATTTATCAACATCAAGCCAGTTTTTAGTAACAAATATAAATCAAATATACATGTATAATTAAAAAATAAATAAAAAAATCAATAATACAGAAATAAAGCAAAGAAAGAATAACTTAATTTTAAACTAATTAAAACATCTTATAGTCTTCAATATTAAAATATATTTGTTGGCTTAAATTGCTCAAAAGGCCAAACTTAAATGAATATTTTCTACAATAATTACTATTATCTATAAGACCAAACAAAATAAAGTCATTGCTATTTTCAAAACAAGAATCTTTGTCTATATAATCAAGTATACTACTATAGGATCTATATTTACTTAAAGTTCCATTTGATCCCATAATATTATTTGAATCAAATTTATATAAAAAACTCTTCAAGTTGTTGCTGTAAGTACAATTAGAAGATTTCCATCCAATAGAATTGTAACATCCGATAATTTTGTTAGAACCTTTGGCATGAACAACAACAATGGTTGAACCTTTATTATCGCATAAACGGTGGAAATCTTCTTTTGTAAATCCATCTCGACTGCCACGTGATAATAGGTTAAAATGAAATGGATAATCTTTTCTACTATCTTGTTCTTTTATCGATTGAATTATTTTATTTATTTGATCGCAAGAAAGAATTGTTGATTTTGAGTTATGTGAATTACGGATGGGGTGAAGTGACGTTTCTTGTTACTCACCGCCAGGTACCAAGTAATGATGTAATAAATCTTGTAAAGTTTTCTCGATAATAGTTCCGAGTATGGCATCACTTTGTTATAAAAATCAACGGAGATTATATGAAAGAAGCGAATTAATGGAAGACAAATTTTGAGTGAAACATTGAGTTGATTGAATTCGTCTTGTGACCATTGATCCACTGGAATCGATAAATCGATGTTACCAGTAGCTGACGCTTGAGCGATTCCCCACTCAAGAACCTTTTCCCAAATTTCAATTTCCTTAATATTCAAATCGTCACGTTTAAGTAAAAAGAGGATTGCTGTTTCTTGAATTTCTACAAAATCACTGGATCGAAAAATTGAAACCGGATTTTTACATACAATTTCTGTACAGAATTCCCGGAGTTGGTCAAAGGTGTTGTGTTTAAAAGCAACTTGATCAATCATAACGAAATTATCAACCATGGATTCAGAATGTTTCTCCAAAAGATATTCTTGAATATATTCAATCAAATCTTCAAGAATCAATTCATAGGCAGCAATTAACAGGTCTAAAAGCGTTGGTACTCCATGATTCGACAAATCGATTTTGCCACTGTATATATATCTGATCGTTATGTAAAGGATCATAATGTCCATACAAATTGATTTCAATTTAATATAATCTAAAACACTAATTAAAATGTTTTTAAAGATAATAATCACCTTAATAAGATTCCAAAAATACGCGGTTCAACATTTGGTTTCTAAAAGACGATTAGATTGTTCGTTTCTCGTTTTATCCACTCGTCGGAAAGAGCAACGGCAAAATACTCTGACTGTGTCACTAGTATTGACGAATGCCCTGTAAAAGTCTGTTCAGTATTTCCGACAATGATCGAGATGTCACAATATTTTCTGTTTTCATAAAATTTTGACAATTTATTAGAGTGTGAAGTTAATAAATTGTCATTTTTTATGATGTGAATGTGCGAGTGTTGCAAATTGATTTAACATTGATTGTCTCCGGTTTAACGTTTTAAGGTAAAATTTTCATAAGGATAATTAGTGATATGGGCAGCCAGGCTGGCGGCCGGGTCGACCAGGGCCGTCCAGACATAATTTCCTAATTTAGAAATTTATTTATTTTGACATATGTATATACAAGCAGTCACATTAAAAACTACATAATACGATAGTTTTTCTTCTCTTTACATGTACATGTACGTATTTGTCATACATGTACGTATCGTATATGCTATATCCGGTACTTTTTTTCTTTACTACACCAACCAAAAAATCCACCCATAGAATCTATCTGTTATAGTTTTTCTAAAATCTATCACATTACAGTTTTTCTATTAATTTTCAAGATCGGGATATACGTTAAAAAGCTTTGAATTATGTTTCAAAAAAAGGATATCATGCACACAATCGGAATCTAATCGATTACGTTTTTTTGTAATTGCATAAGGTACTGACGAAGCAAGAATTGCAATATATTTACGGGCTTGGATGAATAGGCAATGCTTTATGATGTAATTTCCACAATATAAGTGGATTTTCCGTAAGATATAATGGATCGTTGAGAGAAAGTGTTGGAATTTGTAACATCGTAGCATTTCGTTTTGTACAGAAGAAACCTCCTCGTGAATATCATCAAAAAATTTATTTCGGTTATTAAGTTTATAAACTTCATATTTTTAAAACGAGATCAAAATATGAAGCAAATAACCCATTAACAAAATATCTTGCCAACACATTACTATTTGTTGCTTAATAGGATCTCTGATTTTAATTATTTGATTGGTATGAGATTTAAAATCAACAAGATGGGACTTGAGTTTGATTACGACTGGGCACATTATGCTTAACGTTGGGTATTGACTTCCACCGATAATATCCGTAATTTGAACAAAGGGTTTTAATAAATCCTGCAATGCTGACCATTCATTATCATCCAATAATAAAATTTCCAAATTATTTCCATCATTTCTAACTGTGTAATTTAAATCGTTTTGAGAACTGCTATTAAAGAGAATATAGCATTTTTAAGAGAAACAAGGCGTTGTAATACAGCATAAGTAGAGTTCCATCTTGTTGGAACATCACGAATTGGCTCGAGAATTTTTGAATTTGATTGTATATTATTACTTATTAATTATTAATTGCTGTACATGTCGAAGAGTTTCCCGATATTTATCCTGACAAACAAGTGCATTATTAAGTATTTTAGCCTTATTAATAATTAATAATTTCATGATATTCCTTAAGACCTTCATTTATTGCAAGTTGAAGCGTATGAGCATAACAATTAATATGTTGATAATTAAATTGTTGTAGTGCAGCTGTCATATTCGTTGCATTATCGCTAATTCCTGCAATTATTTTATTTGTTACATCCATTTTTCAAATAATAGGCGAAGAAATTGCGTGATTCTATCACCAGAATGTCCATAAGGAAATTTTTCGATAGTTAAAAGTCCTTGTCGAAGTTCGAAATCAGATGTTAGCCAATGAATAGTTACACCAATATACGGAATATGAAATTGTGTCCAGAGGTCAATTGTAAAACTGCTGTTCTATCTCATAAGATAGACGTTCCTCGGCAAATATTGTGTATTCACCCAATTTTTTTTATCGTGCTGACACACGGCATAGAAAACCGATTGTCTAATAATTAATAAATGTTGGAAACCAGATTAAAATGAAATTACAGTATAATAAAATAAAATCAAAATAAAATTTGGATCTTTTTTTATGGGATAAAATTTCAGAGAAGGGTTAGAGCATAAAGTATATCGATACTATTAAAATCTGTAATACATGTATCTCTGTTCATTTTAATCTGGTTTAATTTTAATCCGCCACATATACGTAATGCATGTTAAAACCCTAGTCATGGTGAAAAAAATCCTCGAAAAACGTGATTCCGATCCATCCGATCTTCTAATTAGAGTTTTGGTTAAGGGTTAAGAGTCAGAGTTAAAGTCAGAGTCAGAGTTATAAGATGTAATAGTGAAATTTTAAAGGAACACTTTGTTATGACACAAAAGGCAGTTTCATAGGTAAGATTTTGAGATACATTTGTTTTTACGTATTTGGTTTGAAATTTTTGGGTTACACGTTGATCTTGCGATTTGATTGGTCAATCAATTTTAAGGGGTATATCGGCATACATCGGATGGATCGGAATCACATTCGAGAATTTTTTTTCGCCATGGCTAGGGTATCTCTGTTCATGCATAAATCGATACAAACACACAAACGAAAGTGACGACTTTCACACATAAATTTTAAAATAAAACATTACCATAATCAAAGATGGCATCTAAAACTTCGAATACTCATAATTGTACATGTAGATGCTGGCGTTGTCGAGGCAATCACTACTGCAAAGCGTGTTCAGTTCATAATATTCATGATTGTAGTAATAACTGTGCCGATTGTAAATTCGACAAGTACTGCAAAGCGTATTCAGTTCACAATATTCATAATTGTAGTAAATGTACCAAATGTCAAAAAAATGAGTACTGCAGAGGATGTTTTCTATATCACAAACGAAATTATGTAGAACGGTCTAGTGGAAATAAAGATATCGACAGTCTAATAAATGAATGCGACAGAATTAATGATGAAGATTATATATCGCTATCTTTCGAATGGATCCCTTTTGAAAGATTGAATATCTTGCAAAAGGAGGTTTTGGTTCAATTCATAAAGCAACCTGGTTAGACGGTCCAATAGATACATATACACGCTATTATGGATGGGATCATGTAGAGAATAAATTTAATCGACGGGGAAAAGTGAAATTATTACGCAATTCAAAGCAAATTACATCCGAGTTTATAAACGAGGTAAATGAACACCTTTAAGCATAAGCATATTGCTCTTTTGTTTTCAATCTAATTAACTTTTTCAAAATCAGATTAAGACTGCTCTACAGTTCTATCATGATGCGGAGGGTATTAATTATCATGGAATAACTAAAACCCAGCTACAAATGAATACTCGATAGTGATGACTTATGCAAAAGATGGCGATCTACGCAAATATATGAACTCCAACTATGAATCATTGACTTGGGAACAGTGTTTAAAATTCATTTAAAAATTAATCTGCGCGCCTGCATACTTTCAAAATAATCTCTGCGCAAATATGCGCATGATATAATATCAATGCCTCATATTATTGAATTTAAAATTAAAATATGAATTTTTTTATCTGCGCAACCCGCGAATTACTTTAAAAATGATCTGCTACCAGTTTCCAATCTGTGGTGCGCAGACTGCGCAAGTCAATTTTAAACACTGCTTGGAAACAAAAGGTAGATTATTTAATTTTTATTACATATAAGTTGGAAAAATTCACGATAAGGGATTTGTGCATCGTGACTTTCACTCTGGAAATATATTAATGCGTGTTTATCCTCTAATTGCGGAGTTTGGACTTGCCGGCCCAGCAAATATAGTAAAATCTGATCAAAAAATTTGCGGAGTACTTCCTTATACGAGTCCAGAGATACTAAATGAAAAGCCATACACTAAAGCCGCAGATATTTATAGTTTGGGATGGTTACGTACGAGATTATGACAGGCGAACGACCGTTCGGTGAACGAAGTCATAATATAGATCTCGTATTAGACATCTATAAAGGAGTACGACCGACGATACCAAATAATATTCCTAAATTAGTTTATTATTGAAAAATGTTGGGATCCTATTCCAGAAAACAAACCAACTGCGCGGAAACTTTGGGACTTTGCCAGATCTGTCAAGGATACATATAACACCTTGTATGTTGTAAAGTGGGAACTGAATGCCTTGCATTTTCAGTACTACAGTTATTTAGAATATCCTAACGCTAAGACAAATGAAGAAATGATTGAGTGTCTCAAACTAGAAAAGCAGAAATTACATACAGTGGCCGTCATATCGATGTTTTGCATCACGTAAATGTAAAAATAATAATGGTAATATCTCGTGATTTTACATGTTACATGTACGTTTAACATGTGCAAATAAATATACAAAAAGGGACCTTAAAATTCATTTAATTACTATTTTGGAAATAAATCAACATACGTGTAATTTAATATTTCAGCGATGCGTTTTTTTTGACTGTTTGTTCGTTCAAAAGTAAATCCATATAACATTTCCAAATTTTATAACAAAACACAACTCGAAT